TCAATTAAAATCACAAGTAACAATTCTATAAAAGCCAGTATACAATTCAAGATGATGGGGGAAGCAGTATCAATCATCCCCCCAGCCAGTTCCAGCAATGCGAGCCCCCATCAGGCCCCCAGGCCATCTGGCATAGCCATGTTTTAAGACCTTTTCGGAAGGGCAGGAGAGTGGGGGCAGCCCGCAGCCCAGCTGGCAAGCTGTTCCACAGGGCAAGGGCCACAGCAGAAAAGGCCCTCTTTGTAGACCCCGCCAGCTGAAATTCCTTGGCTGGTGGGGTTTGCAACATGCCCCTTCTGCAGGATCAAGTGGGGCAGGCAGATAAAATGAGGACAAGACAGCTTCTCAGATAACCTGGTCCTGTGCCATGAAGGGCTTTAAAGGTGATAACCAGCACCTTGAATTGGACCCAGAAGCAAACCAGCAACCAGTGCAGCTTGTGTAATAGAGATGTTATATGTGCCATCCTGGGGGTGTTCAAGACTGTCTGCGCCACTCAGCATAGCCATTTGCATGCAGCAGGTCTCCGGCACCTCCAGCAAAAAGGGATCTGGGAATTGTGAAAGCATTCCCCGCCTGATTTCCTAAACGGCAGCTTTTGGACAGGGGAAGCAGGGGCAGCTGACTGCATCCAGGCCTTGTTCAACTGGTGATTCATGGGTATGTGGTGCAGGCAGAAAGATTCTTCAAGGAATCAGCTTATGGGAGATGGGGAGATCTCTTCTCTGCCAGGGACCTTGGAGGAGAAATGAGATCCAGGGTCAGAGGTTAAGCCCTTTGTCATGTAACTCCTTAGTTTTTCCATCAACAAGAACCCACAGGTCTTTGGGTTAAGAAAATTGCCGTCTGCTCAAACTTTGCAAAAGTGCTGGCAAGGAAAAGTGGGCAATCCAAGGATCGCTTGATTCTGTATAAAAGTAGTAGATTCTCTTAATCTTTCAGGAGAGAGGGAAGCAGTTCCAATCTATTGGAGAAGTCCTAGACTGTGGGGTTCCTTACTCTGCGCCGTTTTCGAACTGAACGTTCTCTAATAAATATCTAAGCTAAAATCTATTTATCTAGTTTCACAGCAGTATCTAGCCAATGTTGGTTGATCTCAAAAAGCCTGAGCATAGTGGAAAACTGGAAAACTCACCCAAGAAATGCCAACAAACAGAGAGGATCCAACAATCATTTTATTATTTCCAAAGCTAGCAAATTACTGTGAATCACTAGTTTCTTCCACCCAGAAGAGCCAACAGCAAGCACCCCCAAGCTCCATAGGTCTTATATAAGATATTGATCAAAGGTAGTTTGAGCATATACTATGAAGACCCCCAAATGTAAGGAAGAAATTGCTTGACAACTGATAAGGATACAAGAGGAAGACACAGATGTTATTCTAAATGCAAAGACATTACAGTAACATTATGTGAAATGTAGTATATAGCAGCTTTGCTATATGAGAGTCACCAAGAGTCTGACTGTTACTTAAACAAGCTGACCCTCTACTTAGCTGCAGAAAGACTAGAGATAAGAGGCAGTGACTACACATCCTTGGATCTGTTTAATCCCACTAAATGCATAAATTCTATCGGTATCTGGGATCATTGGTAGAATACTAGCATGGCTGTAAAGAATCTTATACAGGTAATCCTCACTTAATGACCACAATAGGGACTGGAAAATTGATTGTTAAGCAGAGTAGTTTAGCGAATCGGACACAATTTTACAACCTTTTTGCAGCGGTCATTGAGTGAATCACCATAGTTGTTAAGCAAATCACGCGGTTCCCCATTGATTTTACTTGCTGGAAGCTGGCTGGGAAGGTTGCAGATGGTGATCAGGTGATCCCAGGATGCTGCAACCATCATAAGCGTGAGCTGGTTGCCAAGCGCCTGGATCGCAATCACATGACCATGGGGGTGCTGGGATGGTCGTAACTTTGGGCACTGATCATAAGTCACTTTTTTTAGCACCATTGTAACTTTGAACAGTCACTAAACGAATGGTTGTTAAGTGAGGACTACCTGTAATTAAATGAGCAGCTAAGAGGATATAACATTGGTTAAAGCTATAATGTAAAATATAAAACACAGGTAAGTATTTATTCTTCCACATAGGGTCAGATCAAAGCATATTCATTCTAAAGGCAACTGAAATACATTGTAAACTACCACATCCTTGCTAAAATCTTTTGGAAAACGACATGTTTGGGAAGCAGTGAATAACTGGCAGAGATTTTGTCTATAGTTCTGCTGGGGAGACTGACAGAAAATTTCTGCTATCCCTTATATTAGGCATTTATTTATTTAAAAATATTTATATAGCCACTCGTATTGCAGCAACAACCCTGAGTAACAAACGAAACAGTAAAAACAACAGAAACCCCCAAACCATGAAATAAAAATCAATAAAACCTCTATAAAAATTCTATACAAACTCATGGCACCCCACAGCAGCACTCTCCTATATATCTAGACACCACCTTGCTAGGCTCCATCTTGCTGGGATCTGTGAGATGATTTATTTTATTTTTGTGGTTAGCTGCTCCTTTGTGTTCAGATCAGGCCTCAGCAAAATAATGTAGCACTTGGGGAAGAAGATGCAGCCCAACAACCCAGCACTGGAGGCCAAGATGGAGAAGACCTGCACGGCCACCATGTATTTGCCCTTGGTGCTCAGGTAGGTGGGCACGAAGGAGACCCAAACACTGCAGAAGACCAGCATGCTGAAGGTGATCAGCTTGGCTTCGTTGAAGGCTGCAGGTAGCTTCCTAGCTAAGAAAGCCACCTATAGTTCTGCTGGGGAGACTGACAGAAAATTTCTGCTAAGACCTGCACGGCCACCATGTATTTGCCCTTGGTGCTCAGGTAGGTGGGCACGAAGGAGACCCAAACACTGCAGAAGACCAGCATGCTGAAGGTGATCAGCTTGGCTTCGTTGAAGGCTGCAGGTAGCTTCCTAGCTAAGAAAGCCACTGTGAAGCAGATGGCAGCCAGGAAGCCCATGTAGCCAAGGGCAGAATAAAACATGGTGACTGAGCCTTCATTGCATTGCAAGACAATCTCTCCAGCCTGGGAATGCATATCTGAGTCAGGGAATGGGGGAGTGGTGCCCAACCAGATAGTGCAGACAATAACTTGGACAGCAGAGCAAGAAAAGACAATGGAGTTGGCCAGACTCTTTCCCAGCCATCTCTTCACCATGTTCTCTGGTTTTGTGGCCAGGAAGGCCAGCACCACTGTGATTGTCTTTGCTAAGATTGAGGAGACAGCAAGTGAAAAGATGATGCCAGTGGCTGTTTGCCGGAGAAGGCAGGTGACTTTTCTTGGCTGGCCAATGAAGAGGAAGGAGGATAAGAAGGAAAGGATGAGGGACCCAAGGAGAATGTAGGAGAGATCTCGGTTGTTAGCCTTGACTATCAGAGTTTCGACAAATTTGATGAAGATTCCCAACACAAACCCTGTGGTTAAGGACAAGCATAAAGCAAAGGCAGATAGGATGATGCCCAAATGTCCTTCATAGGACAGGAAGGTTATAACTTTGGAAACGCACCGATCTCTGTCCTTATTCGGATGCTGATCTTCTGGACACTTGCTGCATTTTTTGGCATCTGAAAGAGTAAGAGTTAGATCTTCCTTACAGCATGCTCTTTTCTGCTCCATTCAATAAGGTTTTTTTTTATTTTTTAATGACAGTGAATACCAAGAGTCACAAAAAAGCATAGCTGATCGTATGTGTGGGGGATGAAAACTCTGCCTAACAATATTCACTCCATGCCCAAATCACCCAAATTGACCCTACTGTCTCGCTCCTCTTCTCCGTCCTCAACAGCTGTGACTTCCAAATGCCATTAATGTGCAGCATAACTAGCATTCATAGAGCATTACCAAGTTTATTTCTTATGCGCTGATAACTAAGTATGGTACAACCCTAGTGCCAAATTCCCCTGGGAGCT